AGCTCCTGGCCCCCGCTCATGGACGCTTCGGTGGGCCATGAGCCCGACCTTCTGGCTGAAGCACTTCCCACAGGCGGAGCACGTGTGGGGGGCCTGGTGGGGGTGGCGGCCCTGGTGGTGCCGCAGCATCTCCCCCTTCCTGCCCAACTGGTCCCCACAGGTCCCGCAGACGTGGGCCACGGGCCGCTGGTGGGTCCGCTGATGGCGGGCAAGGTGGATCTTCTGGCGGAAGTGCTGCCCGCATGCAGCGCAGAGGTAGGGCTCCTCTCCGGTGTGGATCCTCTGGTGGGTCACCAGCACTGACTTCTTCTTGAACTCCTTCCCGCAGGTGCTGCAGCAGAAGATCTTCTCTCCTGCCAGTGTGGATTCGGCCACAGCGACCCTGGCGGCATCCCGCTGACCCCCCTCAGCACTGTGGACCCGCTGGTGCTTGATGAGGGTGATCTTCTGCCGGAAGCCGCGGCCACACACCCCACACTTGAAGGGGCGGTCGCCTGTGTGGATCCGGTGGTGAGCCACCAGTTGTGACTTGTCCACGAAGCTCTTCTGGCAGCTGATGCACTGGTAGGGCTTCTCACCGGTGTGTATCCGCTGGTGCACAATGAGCTGCGACTTCTGGGTGAAGCTCTTCCCGCAGTCTGGACACTTATACGGCCGCTCCCCTGTGTGGATCCTCTGGTGCTCCTTGAGCTGTGATTTGGTGATGAACCTCTTGCTGCATTCAGTGCAGGGGAATGGCCTCTCACCCGTGTGAGTCCGGAGGTGCTTGGTGAGGTCCACCTTCATCTTGAAGCTCTTCTCACACTCAGTGCAGGCATGGGGCTTCTCCTTCCTCTCAGGATCCCTCTGATCTCTCTGACCTTCCCTGTGATCTCTCTGACCTTCCCTGCTGACCTCCTCTCTGGATCCATTGGCCTCTTGGTCCTGCAGCTTCCCAACTGGGTCAGTGTTTCCCTCCTTCTCATACTCTTCAGCCTCCATCTCCTCCTTGTGGGATTTCTGGTGGACAGCCTTGTGGGTAAAACTGTCCCCACAAATCGTACGAGCATACAGCTTCTCCTGGGGTTGGATGAGAAGATCCTCTACCTCCAAGAGCTCCAGAGCCATCGTGGCTGGCTGCTCCATCATTCCATTCCTCAGAGGCCATGGCCCAGGCAGTGTTTGTTAGGAGATGGCTCGCTGCAGGTATTCCTGCCCATTGCCTCCAGCTTCCTCTATCTGCTAGGGCTCCTCGGAGCTGGTGTCTGTGGGGAAGCGCCAGTGCTAGTTTTCCTTAGTCTGCGTTTCCCTTAGTCTGCGTAGGAAAGTCTGCGTTTCCCTTCTTGAGGCCTGAACCTGAAAAGAGAGCAAGGCAGATGCTATTGTCAAGGTTAACAGGAAAAGAAAAATCAAACCACATTTACTGTGGTAAGGTGTCATGCGAAGAAGAAAAGTATAAATAAAACCCCAGCCAAACTTGGTTAATTATAGTAAAACCAAAGGCCAAGAGATTGTAAAATCTAATAGGGGATAGAAGGAGATTGCTGGAATTGCCTGGCACAGGCTGGAGTTTCTCCACATCTCCAAGTCCTCATTACAAGAAGTTGGGGTTTTGGTGCCTGTTCCTACCAAGCTGATCTCTGAACAGAACATGACACCACTTTAGCACTGCTCGTTTTCTACAAGGAGCTGGTAATGGCTGAGGATCATATCCAGCACTGACTGACACGTGATCACCAGCGTTTCCAGAGCTAAATACAGCTCTTTGAGGGCCACCTCCAGACCCATCTTCAGAGCGGATGGGAGGCAGTGCTGCACTGCCATCTAACCGCCCGTGCCCAGTATACACCAGCTTGTCCCTGGTGGTGTGCAAAGCCCAGCACTGAGCCAGGACGACTCCAGCAGCCCAAGACTCAGATGGAGCCAGACATGTCCCAAGCTGAGACCGGCTGTTACGATCAGCTACGTCTCGTTTAGTGTGCAAGCAGAGACGGGGCTTCCCCCAGCTCTGCAAGGGGAAACTTTTGGGACAAGCAAACAGCTTCTTGTCTCTGGGACACGTCACGTCATGCTTTATGGCCCCCAGGCAGCAGTGAAATCTCACAGCTGTGAAACCAAACTGCCCAAGTATGATCTGAGGCTCGTCTGGCTGTGCCTCTCCCTTGTGGTTTACTTCCCTTGCTGTGTGCCTATGCATTTCTCGAGATAGTTTGTGCTCTGTCCAAACAGGCTAAACTCTGCCTGAGTTCCTGCCTTTGTTGCCATCCTGCTACTTAGCTCCTCTCTTGACCCCTCTCAATCACTCTGCAGAGGGGCCTCATCCTCTGCCCTGACCCAGCAAAGAGGTAAAGGGGAATTAAACCGCTCAGGGATGTCACGTCCACCTCGGCAAGGGGACAGCAGCATCTGGGTCACAGCTGCAGCCGGACAGGCTGGAGGGAGAAGTGAAACTCGCACCGACATCCTCACTTCCCAGTGCAACGCTGGGGCAGACTCTAGAGCGTGTGCAAGGCTGCTGGGAGGATGCCTGAAGGGACAGAGACCTCCTGTCAGTATCTGGGGAGGACAGCAAGGAGCCAACTCCTTCTCCACCTTTCCCTCGTCCTGCGGAGAGATGCCAAAAGACCAACTTTGCCCTAGTGCACCCTTCAGTTTTTGGGCTCTCACATCTGATCCATGAAAGGCACAGCAACACCATCACCTTTAGTGACCTACCCTTGTGAAAAGCCCAGGACACTAACACACGAGGTGGAGAACAGCCCCATTTGCCATAGATCTTCCTCATAGGTGAACCAAAGAGGGGAACCTGGAGAACCCAGCACTTACAACCCCAGGAACTCACCTGGGGGAAGTTCATGAGAAGGGGTCCCTGGTGGTGGCCTGGGCCAGCTGGTCTCTGGGGCCAAAATCCTGGCCTCCCCGTGCTCCTTGACTCCTGAGTATCCTGAAGTGACAAGGGGTCCTGAGAAGCACTTGCTCTATCCCTTGGCTGGGCAAAGAGGGCCCTAATCTGGCTACCCTGCCTGGCTGCCAGGGCATTTGTAACACCTCTAGCAACCTGCCAGGCACCCCAGCACTGCACTCCCAGCACTCCCTGGCAAAGGTACCAGGAGAAATAATGGATGCTGTGCATGTTGTTCCCTCAGGGACCTTCAGTTAGACTGAGAAATGGAAGCTGCTTTACTTTCTGTGAAGACCCAGGATTCCTGAGACACTTTTCCAAGCCTAGAGATGGCCCCAGGCAAACTCCCCCCACCACCTCCGAGCTGTTTTATGCAGTTGGCTGTTTCTCCCTTCCACCTCAGAGGTGGCTGCATGTCAGCCGAGCTGCCTGGACGTCATTTGTGAAACACACTGATGTGAGCACCGTTCTCAGCACTCCAGGTGTTGCTCCACTGCCTTTCATCAGGAAAAACCCACACATATACACACACACACACACACCCTCCTTGCATGGCAGAGGCTGGAGTAATTAACCCATTCCTGCCTGTGCCTCCATCACTCCTGCAGACACTTGCTGGGCAGGACAGATGTTCCAGAAGCATTGTTTTTACGGCAAATTTTCAAGGACCAACACCCCTTCCTGTGCTTCTACTGCTGCTTTTATTCCCTGCATTTAGCAATTTCAGTGCCCCTGTGTTTTGTGCTCCCGGGCTGAGCAGGGTCAGCTGTACCTCTTAACTTCAGAGGTCACCTCCAGCCAGGGGAGCGTACAAAATCTATCAGGCAGGATTCAGCCTGAGAAAGACAACCAAGGAGATTTTTCCAGATAGGAAAGATTGCTCACCGAAAGCCAATCTTTCCAAACACTCTCAGTTTCACAACAGCGACCTAAACTTCCAGCCATTTCCTGCAGGACACATGCAAATGCCACAGAGGAGTTAAGCCCTGAGCCTCCCCATGCTGGCCCCCGACAGCCCAGCTCAGCTATGTACTGACCTGTCTCCCATCTCCCTCAGCAATCACAGCTCTGAAAGTGTCCAAGTGTCATTGGCCAAATTTTCTTATTTCTACCTACTTTGAGCTCATCTTCTTCCACTTACTTCTCCAACGTCCGCTTGGTGCTGACTCACAGGAAGTCTGTGTCAGTGATGTAAAAGCTACCGGGGGAGGAGAGACCGAGAAAGAGAAGCTGGGTCAGGGAAGGAAGTGGCTTGGGAGTAGGAAATAGCTGCCCAAAAACCTCCTGGGCATAGGCACGGGGATCCCTCACCAGCGTTTACATCCCTGCAGGTAGCTCTGCTTGGCTGCCCAGATCCTGGTTCTCGCACACATGCTGCCTGGGCTGCAGGCTCCTGGGAACTGTAGTCCTCAGCAGGGATGCTTGCTCGCCCTTTTGCTTTGTTGATTGCCTTCTTCTGGTGGCTGGGTATCGTTTTAGGGAAATGTTGTGCTCATGCTGCAGTGGGCTGGAAATAGCTTTTGTTTTACATTAGTTCTCCTTTTTAATTACTATTTTTAGGTGATTGAACTGCACTGCTTTGCATTAGAAGTCTCCACTGAAAGAGTATCTCTTAGCCCTCGGTGGTGGGGTCCTTTTACCCTCTGCTTGTGCCAACTCCACTAGAGCTGTGTGAGCAGGGAAAACGATCGTATCCACTTCTTCTATGGCCCTTTTTGTGTGTAGATCTCAAAGCACTTTGCAAATGGGAAATTAAATGAGATAACCTGAAGGGGACATTTGGTGAGTGGTGGTGGAGCCCAGATCTGCACCCTCTGCTAGACGCAGTGGAGGGGTCTCCAGCCAGTTAGTCCAAGGAAATTGTTTCCTCAAAGTGGCTATGAGTCTTACTGAGAGTGTCCAGCTCCTGGGGAGGCTTGGACTGCTTGCTGCTGGACGTTTTGTAGCAGTTAGCGGGCTTGACTAGACTGGGTCCTGGTTATGACCAGGAGCACCGATGCCTGCAGAGGCCCACAGTAAATGTTTACCCCTGCCAGTATGGGTCATATCACAGGTCCTGGAGCATTTGGGGGCTGCTGGGCATTGCTCATCTGGGCGATGGAAAAACCAAAGTCATGTCTCTGAAGCAAACGAGGTGACTGCTTATGTTCCTGGGCACTGGAGCATGCACGATTGCCCCAACTCTTGGTTGTTACCTAACACATTTAGCCTAAGACAATGTCCAGACCTGGCTGGGGCCGAGAATGAGACTCCATGCGCAGGCTGGATGAGGCCACTCTACATGGAGTTTAGCATATGGACACAAGCCAGGCCAGTGCCCTCAGGGCCAGAGAACTGTCCTCACTTTGTTTAATTTACTCATATGGACACAGCTAAGTTGTTTGGCTGTTCGTCACTAGCGCTTTGCAGAAAGTACCTCAAGTAGTACAGTTAAAGTGTTTTAGGGGATGCATTTCCAGAATTAGGACTTCTATTTTAAAAAATATGTTTTTTATGGAAAATTACTGTAAAAAGGGAGTTCACTGTGTGTGGGTAGTAGCATGTTTTGTGCTCTTCATGTTTTCTGATTTTGAGTATGTACTCTCAGGGATCACTTAGAAGCCAAACCAAAAACTTCTGATGTTATTCAGACGAAATGAGTCCACAACTGTTTCAAAGCACAACATGGGGGATCAGAAGGGAAGGATGAGGGTGTGCATCTGATATAGGTTGCCTGTGGGATTTTACATGATCTAAAGTTTTTCCTCAGTATCTCCATCTCTAAAATTGGGTTCTCCTACCAGAACTGTCTTATTTCTGGCCTTTACAGAGACTTAATACATCAGAAAGAATTGTCCCATTTTTGAAAATGTGGAAAAAAAAGTTCCATTTTTTCTTGCTTCTTTGGGTAGGAAATTGGACCTTCTGGGTCGCCCCATGTCATATTCCTGGCTCACAGCTGACCTTGTGAGTGACCATGAATATGCGTAACACATTCTCTTTGTTTCTATTCTTCCAGTTACAAAATAGAGAAGATAGATAGATAGACAAAAATCAGGGCAAAGTAAATGGTTTTGTGTTCTCTTTTATTTTTTCAGTTAAGGAAGTGAGGTGACATGGGCTGATTAAACCACTTGACTAGTCAAAAGGGAAGCCTCAGGCAAAGGAGAAAGTTTCTGGTGTTGGTGATCTAATGCCTCGGCCAGCAGATCACCTCTCTTGTCCTTAGGGGTGTGATATCCAGTCACTTGACTGACAAATTTTCCTGGTGAGGATCAGGTTTGTAGACATCTTTGCTCCCTCTGTGAGTGGATGAGGCTTCATGCCACTGTTAGGCTGGTTTAGCAGGAGGTGAAGTCCTGCTCCCTGCCACTTTCTGCCGCTGCCTGTGCATGTGCTCCCTTGCATGGGACCAAGTGAGTGTAGTAGCAGGATGAGTCAGTTTAGCTGGATGACTTGGTGGAAAGCACCCTGGGGGGGAAAAAATCCTTTAAGAGCTTTTCCAGCTGAGTCTTCTTCTGTGAGTTCAACTGTACAGGCCACCGGCAGCCAAAACAGGGACAGATGTTTGAGTTACTGGTGAGTATAAACTGTTCCCTGTATCAGAGCACAGAATTTTTGCTTAATCCAGCCTAAATAATCAGGGGTAGATCAGAAATTTATATAGACTTCTAGGCCCCAGTGCTAGTGGCTTAAATCAGATCCAAGAAAACCCCAGGATTTTCAAAGATGTTTTTATGGATACAGTCAGATTTCTAATGCTTTTTACCAAGCATATGTTATAGATGGTCTGGGCCAGGTGAAGACACCCTGGGATGGGATGGAAGAGCAAAGGAGGGTTAAGGGCTACCTACCATGCAACTGGGCAGCAAGGACACAGCTACTTTGCTGGGGGGACAGACACAAGGGGCAAGGGCTGGGTACGCCGTAGCTGGCTTTGATCTGGGAACAGCTTTCTTCCAAACTTTGTGAACTTTATCACAGAAAATAAGGTACAGATCAAGGTGCTCTTGGTTTTTATTACAACACAAGAAAAACAAAATGTAACAGTAAAAATACAGGTGGGCCTAACTAAGTCAACTGGGTCCTGGGCAAGGGTAGGATTTTTTTGTTACGCTTGGTCAGTGTAAATTGCTGGTCTCTGTGCTCAGTACTGTGCAGGGCTTGATGGGCAGCCTGGTCCCTGTTGTACATGGCAAAGGGTTGCTCAGTCTGCCTGGTCACCTGGGGTTTGCCTAACAATGCGTGTCCGGTCAGTCACTCCCTTTCAGTTCAGAAGTGCCCCACAATGGTGCCTATCTCCACCTATGGACTAGAAGAGGCCCAGAGGTGATAAAGCTCCAAGCTGGAGAGCCCAGGCTGAGCCCTCAGGTTCCCTTTGGGTCCCTGGAGAGGGATGTGTTTCTCCAGAAGCTTATTCAGAGGTTAAAACAGTAGTCAGATCCTCTGGATTGCATCTCAAGGAACTTTTTCTCTCTCTTTTGGCAGCAGGGGGTGGGGGCAGAATTTAGGAAAATTGGAAGCATGTCTCAAGATCTGAAGAGAGGCAGGGTGTTTATACCCTATATATACTAGTTTTCACCACCCCTGTGGCTTTGGCTGCCAACAGGGACCTTATGTGACCTATATGTCTGTGTTCACCCTGGCTACCCTCTGGTCACCCACAAGGTGACTATGGAGAGGAGAAGGCACAGCCTCTTGTAGAGATGAGCACCCTGGGCCACCTTTCAGAGCAGCTTTTTAGCCTACTCTTGTAGGGGCACCTATAAGACCACATGGTACACCACAGCAAGGGTATCATAAGGCATGGATCTCCCTGACCAAGGGATACAACACCCTTAGCCTTACTTGTCTTGTTCCTTGCAAGTGATGCTGTTGGCCTCCCCTTGGTCTTGTTGGGTCTCTCTGGGCACTGGGGCCTCTAGTGGGCTTCAAGTCCTCCCATTGCATCTCCTTCCACTCCTGTGGATGCCTCTGGACCTTTCTTGGTGGGCCATGAGATTGTTCTTCTTCAAGAAGCTCTTTCCACATGTACCATACTGATGTGCCTGGGTGTCTTCAGGACTTGGTAGAGGGTAGCTCCTCACAACACAAGGTTTTTTTTTTTAATTTTCCTTCGTGCGTGCCCCACAGGCTTTGCTGGTGGGTTGTGCTCTCCTCCTTCTTCTTCCCATGTGGGATGTATTGACATGAGTGTGTGTCTGGAGCGTCTGGGGAGGCTATGCAGCCACATTCTTGGCCCCTGGCTGTTATTAGGAGATGAGGCTGATGTGCAGAGCTGGGTGCTTTGCTGGCAAGGAATGAGTTGCTACCCATGTTTTCAGCCAGTATTTATTTATTCTTAGCTTTATTCAGCTTCACAGAGATGTAATCAGTGAGGAGGCAGCTCTCACTTCTCCTTCTTCATTTCAATTCCTGGTGTGGTTCTCATTTTTAGCATCCCCTTCATGATGCTTCTACATTTTTCAAAACACCACACTGTAACTTGCTGGTCAAGGCATGAAATTGGACCTCAGTGCCAAAGCTGGAGAAAAAGCATATTCAGAGCTATCATTTTTGGAGGAAGCTTTGGAACTGCCCTAGGTAGAATGAAGAGTAGGAACTGGGCCTTGCTGTAGAAAGTGCCAAACAGAGCTAGACATCAGGCCTCCTGGGTTCAGCTCTGAACTCTGGCATGGAATTATCGTTTGACTTCTAGAGAGTCATGTATCCTCTCTGTCCCTGCCCCTGCCTCTGCTTCAGTTTACTTACAAGTTACAACACTTTTTGTCCATTTAAAAGGGTTTGGGACGGGGAGGAGGGCAAGGGGAGAGACTGCTTGTGCTACCGCCTGTTTCAGTTCTGACCTCTATTCTGGTTACAGGCAACCACAGGAATGCAGCATTCCTGGTCATAGCCACTATCCTTTCTCTTCTTGTTACACTCTCAGGAACATGCACATTAGTATTTCCATCCAAAGCACTTATCTTCCTTATTTATTCATGCATTTTGATTCAGCAGTTAGGAAGTCTCAAGAGTCTTTTGTTTCAAGTAGACCTGTATGAATATGTGGTCATGTCTGATCTACTGTCTAAACCAAGAGTGTGTTCCAGGTAAACTTAAAAAAATTTTTTTATTCTACTTCTTTC